CGGGCCAGAGCAGTGCTACCTTGCTGTGTCCCCAGGCTGCTCTCAGCATCGCACCAGCGCCAAAAGCCCCACAAAAGCCCCAATGTCCGCACACCACACTACGTTAGCACGATTCAGCACTGCAGTAAGGGGCTTTTCCAGCTGCCTAGCCCCAAGCTTCCTAACTTTCCTTCTCCGGGCTTTTGTAGGAAAGTTTCTGCTTGACACTGACACCCAGTTGGACTTTGTTCAAAACCCCCAAAATAGATGGGGCATAAGAAATTAAAAAGCCACCCAACACTGCTTGGACATCTTCATCCTCGGTAAGAGCTCCCTGCCTGCGAGGCGGTGTGAAGCCCTTCCTGCAGCCTGTGCCCCAAGCCCAGACTGAGAGAGCGCTGGGGAAATTCTTCCCGCAAACAGACCCTGAAGACCAGCCTGCCGGTCCAGAAGTGCTCCTGAAACCACCACCGTCACACCTGAACACACAGGGACACTTTGGTCAGTGACAGAGATGGCCAGGGCCAGTCTCCACATTGATCCCTGCTTCTAAGGGCTTTCCAGCATGGTGGCTTTTTTTTGTTGTTGTTCCCATGATGGGCAGTTAGGAAAAAAAACGACCTGCTGCTGGGCACAGGGTCCCCGCTGCCACCTGCGGCAAGGGCAGAGGACCCCACATCCCCCTCCCAGCGCAGGAGAGGGCATGCTCTCCCCATGCGCCAACTCCTGCCAGCGGTTGAGGATGGGCTGATGCAACCGCGGTTTATTGTCATGGAGACGAGAAGCCTTTTTCTCTACACACCCAGCTTAATGGCTTGGATTAAAACCTCCTTTCCCCTGGGCAGAGCAGAACAGGGACAGCTGCGTTGTCCCCACATCTCCCCCTTGCCCACGTGCATCCCCTACCCTCGCCAGTGCGCATCCCCCACGGTGCCGGGCATGTCCTCCCGGCCACAGCCCCCCCAGCACGGAGGTTCCTCGCACCACTCCCACGCGTGCCCCGAACCCATCCCAACCCATGCCCACCACGCTCCATCAGCCAGCAAACGCGCACCCCACTACAAACACATCCCGCACTCAATCACATTTCATAACACCCCCCCCCGCCATGGCTCTCCCCTCCAGCAGGTCCCAAGCAGCCAGAAGATCAACACTGACCATTTCTTGCAGGTGACCAAAAACCATGAGCTCTTCAACGAGGCGAAACAACAAGAAAGCATCTTCAAGGCTGCCCCTTTCCTGGCTCCCCAGGGAGGGAAGGAGCTAAGCAGAGCCACGGAGCAATCCCTTGCTGTGGGGCAGGCAGGTGTGGAGGGGATGGGGGGAACCACCTAATAGGGTTTGGAGGGGGACGACGACAGGGGCACGGCAGTACCAGGGGCCAACCTCAAGGCTTGGAGACATGCGACAGGCATGGCCTGGAGGGGAAGGACGGCGTCTCGCTTACCCCGACAGCACTCCCAGGACAAGGTTGAGGACAAAGAAGGATCCAATGATGATGAGGGGGATGAAGTACAGCCAGTTCCAGGTGGCTCCTAAGGCATCATTGGTCTGGAGGGGAAAGAAAAAACACGTGTGACGTTATCTTCAACACCAGCACCCGGGCCAGAGGGAGGATGTGTAGCTTCGGCGCGGTGGCAATTGTCTCTCCAGGCTGACCACACCGGGCTCCTCAGGGTGATGTAGCCATGCCCAGACCCTGGTGGGCACCGGGCGCTGCCTGTGCAGGCATGCCTGCAGGGGAGCTCCCGTCCCGCGGTGCCCTGATGCCCCTCCTTGGCATCCTGCCCCAGCCAAGCTCTCCTCTGTGGTCTCCAGCCCTCAGCAGGCAGGACCGCTCTCCTCTGCCTCCTCCTACCAGCACCGCATGGACACAGAGGTTGTAAGACAGTGGTATAGTCAGAGGTGCGGGGCCCTGCCGCCCAAAATGGGGGTGCTGAGGGCACGAGGGCCACCCTGAGCGTGCGCCCCCCAGCAGCTTGATTCGGTGCTCCCCTACACATCCCACCGAGGCAGGGCAAAGCAGCCGCGCAGGAGCGGTGCCTGTCGAGCACAGGTGAAGGGGGAAAGATTTATAGGGTGCCTTAGGGACAGGGAAGCTGGTGACGATAAAGAAGAGGCAGCCAATGCTTGTCCTTCCATGCACGGTGGGAAAGGGGCTGGTGTGGACAAGCCCCACACCTTCAAATGGGCATTTTGCTGACGGCATCATCGCTAATATCTTGCAGACAGCCTCCCGCCCCGGGTGTGTTACCCCAACCCCGAGGAGCTGAGAACGGAGAGGAGCTCTAACGGCAGGGCAAAGCCTGACAGCTAAAAAGGCTGCCGGCAAGCCCTGCTCGATACCTCCAGACATTTATTCACCGAGGCTTTTAATAAAGCAGTGCCCCTCTGTACCTCACAGCCGCTTCCTAAGCCCCATTTGTCCTCCGGTGTCAGGCACAGCACACACGATGCCGGGCTGGAGGGTGATGCGGCAGAACGTGACTGTCTGGGGGAGGTGGTATCAATCTTGTTGCAATGAAAGACTCTTTCTCTTTTCTCTCTCTTCCCCCCTCTCCCCATGCTAATTAAGCCCTCATCTTCGTCTGAGTCATTAGCACCACGTCTCCCGGTCAGCCAGTGCAGGAGCCAAGACAAGGCTCTGCAAGGGGAGAAGCACATCTCCGAGGGGGAGAGAAAACCACCGCGCTGGAGTCTTCCTCGGGTGACCGAGGAGCCGGCGGGAACCTCAGCCAGGCGTCCCCCACCACCCTGACACCGAGCCCAAGGCGGGAAGGGTGATGCCAGCACATCCCGCTGCAAGCACTGACCACAGCACCAGGAGGGGGATGCCGTGGGCAGAGACCCCAGCGCCGAGGAGCCCCTGGCACACAGCAGCAATCACAACTTTGAGGTTGGGGAAAGCATCTGGAAAGACTCATCACCCTCCTCCTTCCGCACCAGGGAAACCAGAAGACACGCGTCTTCTCAAGGTCTTGCACCTTTCAAGAGCCCCAGACCACCACCAGCCCCTTTCCTCGGGGCCGTGGGAGAAGCAAGCGCAGGGAGCTGGGAATGGTGCATGGGAATCGCACACAGCCAACGCTCCTCACCGCCCTCCAGAGACACCCAGACCACCGTGCTCTGCTCTCACAGCACCGTTTGCCACGACATTAGTCCTCAAGGCATCGCGCACCTCTCAGCCCAAGCTTGGCTGGGCTTCAGCTCCCTGCCAAGATGCTATTGGGTACCCGCCACCCGTGTCAGGATTGCTCGCCTTTGAAACTGGCTCCTGCCCAAAAACCACGGGCTTTCCCCAAGGTCCTTGGCACAGGGGATGCAAAACAGATGAGCTCCTTTCCTACAGGTGAACGAGACACCTTTCCCCAGGGCTGGGCCATCGCCACCCCTCCTTCGGCCTTCTCCTCTCCAGCAACGCTGAGCAGGAGATGGAGGGGGATACAGGGACGAGATGATGGAGCAGAGGGCAATTTCCCCAGGGTTATCAGCCTGCGCTACCACCAGCAGTGCCCAGACCACCTCTTCCCACTCCATTTTCCGGGCATGGCAAAGCTAGTGGCACTGAGGACCTGCAGCCAGGAAAGCTGAGGCAGGGGCTTGGCAGCACCCCGATGGGATGGGATCTGCGATCCCAACCTCCACGTGCATTTGGGTACCCAGATCCCATGGGGGTGGAGGTAAAGGGGACTAGAGAGATTTTAGGGGGTTTTGGGGGTTACAATGCCCAGTACCACTGACAGCCAGCAGCTCCATGAGGGGCACTGCTGGGGCAGCAGAGAGGATGGACCCCATGCACCCAGGGAACGGTCCCAGCCACCCAGGCCGATGCCAGCAGCCCCAGGAACAGTACTGCCCTGAGCAGCCACATGGGTCCCCCCGGCTGGTGCCAGCTTTGCTGGGATCCCACAGCCCCAAGATAAAATTTCCCAGGCCACATCCCAACACTCCCTACAAAACCAGGAGCCAGTGGCTCCAGCCTGTCATCTGGTACCTGCCCAGCCGCTCCAACTGCCAAAATTTGCCCTCTTATTCCCCGAGGAGCTGTTAGAGTTGCTCCAGTTCCTTTGCAGCACCCAGACTGCAGAGGTCCCAGCTGGGTGGGACAAGGGGGCTTGTTTGGGAAACACGAGGGGGGCTTGGCCTTTCACAGGTTCTGCATCTTCCACTGCTTCTCTAGCCCACAGGTAGAGAACATGACCACAAAGCGTCCAGTGCAGCAGGACACCAGCACACAGAACAGCGTGTGTGCATACACACACACACACACACACACAGAGAAGTGGACACATTCCCATCTCTCCACTTCCAAAGCTGAAGCACGTCTGCCCAGGGAACCGAAGGAACCGCCATGCCTGGCCGTGTGTCCTGTCAACCCCAATGCTCTGACACACACCGTGCTCCCCAGCTGGAGGCCAGCGGGTTTGCCTGGAGGGAGGACACAGACTGCCAGGGTCTCACAGAGTTGCTGAGTACAGACCCCCTCGTGTCACACAATCTCCCCCAGATTTTGTTAACTCTACCTTAAAATCTCACTATTCCTG